GTCAACTTCATCAACTTTAAGATGTGTGGATTTCAACTTCCAGAATTCCCCAGCCAGCATGGCTGGCTGGGGAATTCTGGGAATTCAAGTCCACACATCTTAAAGTTGATGAAGTTGACAAAAACTGGTCTAGAGACCTAGTGGTTTCAGGAAAAATTATTTAAGATAGCTTTCCAGGTGCCTTCCAGCTAAAATTCCCATTATCCTCAGTTAGCACTACCTTTTCCCTGACTGGAGAAACCTGCCTTTGAGTTCATCAGCAAGCAGATGAACAGGGAAAGAGATCCTTGAGGACAGAAATGTTGGAATAAAGCTCAGCCATAGGCTTATTTTTTAATGTATTTGCAAATGGAAATGTAGTTAAACTGCCTAAATAATTTGACATTAGTGTTGCAATGCTAAGGAACCATAATGGAACATGCAAAAGAAGAAAAAATGAAGAAGGGAATTGTTGAAATGTAGTAGAAGATATTTTAAAGTATGTATCTTAGCAGATTTTGCTTTCTCAATCTTTTTAGGCAGAAACTGAGTCCTATTCGGGTAACAGGAGTCTTCAGGTATCAATTGAATATTCTTTCATAGTGATAGTATTCTGAAATTTGGAAAATAGATTAATTAGAAATAAATTGACCACACTTAATTTTTAAATGAAAAATGCCAGGCAGCTTGTCTGGAAATTTCAATATGGATTGGATAGTGTTTATCACAATAGTTTCCCATAAGGTGTTTTTTTTCCTCCTATAAACTTCTCTTTGGGCATTATGGGAAATACATGGTTGGCTAGATCTATCTGGCAAATATTGCTTGAAGCACCATCACTATAGTATAGATAAATAGCTATATAGATATCACTGAAATGTATTAGGTGAAGGTCTACATGAAAATTCGTAAATTAAAGGTGGGGTAGGCAACAGTAGAGTGCCCATGCCTACCTTCCTTAGGGCCTGCCAGTATCTCTGCTGCCCACCTTTTTCAAATAAAATAATTACATGGGAACATGACCTCTTGCAAAGCAGAGTGCCATTCCCTACCATTACAGGAATGCCTAGGACCATATAGATATTTTTAAAAAATGTTAATGGTGAATGGCTATGATTACTCCTTTTTTGAAAATGTGCCCACTTGCCCAGAAAAAAGGATAAGAGTAAGCAGGCATGATAGAGAGCAGACCAGGAGTTTGTTTTGTAAAGATGAGATTTTCGTGATTGACCTCATTTACCATTGGCAGCCACGTTGTCAGTAGACAGGCCCTTGTGTGGCAGCCATTTTATGTCCAGGAGACACTTCTGAATTTCAAATCTGCCTACCATCTCAACTAGAGTGGCCAATCTCTAGAATAAAACATCAGTGAAGTTAGTGACAACATCCGCAAGAATTCCATGCAACGTAATAATTGTTAACATTTGCAGTGGATCTCCCTTCAGCTGGACTACTGTGAGGGCTTTTTTTCTGTTTCTTAAACAGTCAAACATTTCTTTAAGCTCCCTCTCTAAATATAATTCGGTATTCATAGCAGCTGCTCAGTTAACTGCAGGTTGCTATTTTACACATGAATTCATAGTGTAACATTCTTGGTGGCCTCTTGGTTGGAATTCTCCTTGTTTAGTGTCTGGATAATTATAGTTGTCAGAGGTTACAAATCTCTGTTCAAACTCCTTCCTGCCTTTTTTTAGGGGGTATTTTCATCCTCAAGTATCTGGGTCTGTTTCACAGTTGCTAGGATGACACATATGCCTGGGGGAGGTATCTCTTTGACTAAGATGTCAGCTGAACCAGCAGCCCCTTTTGGAGTGCCAACTGTGCCTTCCCTGTTGCTTGGAATTGTCAAGGCTGCCTAGAGGTTGGTGTCTTGAATCTCTTCCAAGCCCAGAGGGTTTCTGCAGATTGGATCCTTTAAATTTTTAGCACATGTTTTGAAAGGAAGAGTTTTGAGTTCATTTATCAGGACTGAACGCCAACAAGGCATTGGCTTAGAATGTGTAACGGTATGTGGGAAAAACCTTGGGAGACTGGGCAAAGAGACTCTTCCAAGGGAACAGTCAGATAAGAGACAGCATAGCCCACAGTTGGATAATGGGTGGGGCAGGAGGCTCAGAAGAGACCCTCCCTAGTTTCTCAGGCTGTAAATCTTTCAGACTTGAAAGATTCCGTCAATATAGCTTTACAATAAAGTAGAATTAGCTCATCTGGTTGTGATTCCTATGTGGTTTACCCTGCGAGGCCAACATTAATCTTGCAAGTCTGAAAGTACAATTCTCCCCCTGTCTCCTTTACAGCCCAAGAAACTAGGGAGGGTCTCTTCTGAGCCTCTTGTCCTGCCCACTGTCCATCTCAGGGCTATGCTGTCTCTTATCTGACCATTCCTTGGCAGTGTCTCGTTGCCCAGTTGCCCAAGATCTTTCCCACGTACCATTACAGAGTGCATGATTTTCATAATATGGTGTTCCTATAATCTGTTAGTAGAGATGCAAAACCAATGGCCCTCACATATTGCTGATCTACAGGTCCCTGGATTCTTCTTCTCAGGATGGGCAGGGTGATCCAGTTCAGCAATGGTTAGAAGCTGCAGCTTCCCTATCCCTAAATCATGTTTCTTTAAATAAATGACTACTTAAACTTATTTAAGTCTTACAATTCTCAAAATATGGGGCTAGTTTTGATTAATGTGCTGATGCTGAAAAAAAAAAGTTCTTAAAGCATTAGTTATGCGTGTGCTTTGATTGGTAGAGCATTGACCGAAAAGTTTCTTAAGTAGTCTTCTGAGCCCAGCAATTTTCAAACACTTTCTAAGAGATAAAAAGTGTGAAAGCCACTGATTTACCAGACAGCGATCATCATTTTTCAACTGTAACTCAGAATAAATCCTTTACATGCAATGGGATTGTTTTAGCAAAAGTAAGTAGAGGGTTGCAGCTTCTATTCCTGAGTAGTTCCTCCACCGACCCCCCTCCAGTAGCTGAAATAACATCTGCCAAGGGTGCTTTGGCTTGTTGTTTATATATTTTTGATTTGGGTGAGCTAAGTATAGCTGCTGAAGTGGCAGGGCATGAAACAGGTCCTCACTCAGCCTGCCCCTGGGCTGCACAGTTGGTCTGGCAAGGGCTGAATAAGCAACTTGGCATTCACAGTGGGGGAAACTTCACCTCCTGCATGGCAAGCTGCGATCAGACAATCTTGTGTCAGCCAGCCATTGGGTTCAGTGAGCTTTCCCAGGGCCAAAATTCACATTAGATTTCCTTTTACCCAAATACGGTGTTACAAGCTGCTCTCAAAATGCATGAGGACTCTGTGTGTGCAGGTGTAACAAGCACAGGCTGTCTGGCACCCATCCTTGGCCGGTCTTTGCCAGTGGCATAGGGAAGATCAACCCCACCCTGCAAGCCTCATGTGACTCCCCTTGCCCTGTTGCCATTCAAATTTGGTAGGAAAACACTGAAATTTGGTGGCATAAACAAACTCACCAAAACCTAAAATAAGGAAAATAAGACTATTAAGTCTCTGACAGGCTTAATGCACCTATTTCACTTATTTAATCCTCCTAGATGACCCTCCCAAATAAATTAGTTAACTAATGTATTGATTTATCTGTTGGTTTGCTTTCAGGATTTATATGCCACTGCACTTGAATCTAACTTTGAGGGGCTTACATACCCTATTTATAAAAATGTGATTAAAAACTATACTTTGTAAATCACAAAAAACTATATAATATAAACTCCAGATTACAGGAGGGAGCAACTCACAACATTTCTACCCACCCAGCCGGTTGAAAACACCTGATTTTGGTGGCCTTTCTGAAACCCAGCAGGGGCGTGGGGGGGCACAGTTGGGGAAAGCTTATTTTGCTGACAGAGCAGCAGTAGCAGCAGTTTCCAAAGATTCAGGGAGCTGTCCTTCCTGAATCTGAGATGTTAGAAAAAGGTGTAGGATGCTTCAGTGCAAAGACCTGTGAACAAACTAGCTGGGAATTATTGACTTCAGTACAGATTCTGGCTCATATTCTGGTTTTACTTCCTGATTTCAAACCAGGCAATGTTTTTCTGTTCTGAGGCTTGAGAACTAGTTCAAAGTAACAATAACTTGCAGCAGCTCTGTTGCTTGGAAAATCTAATGCATCGATATCACATTTTCCAATTTGTTTTAAAATGCATACTTTGTGAGTGTAAGAGCAAAAGGCCTTTCTGCTTTAAATGGATTTATTCAGAGGTGACATGTCAAATCAGATGTCTTCCCCATTGTGGGGAAAAAAAGCTTACTGTAGATAACCAGTCAGCAATGGTTATGTCAACAACAAGTTAAGCAGGGTTGGACTTAGTTACTTGGCTGGGAGACTACCAGGAAATCTGAAGGCTGCAGGTTGGACTGAAAAGTCTGAGAAATGTCCAGGAAGAAGGCAATACCAAACCACTTCTGTATTGTTTTAATAAAATTATAGGGCTGCATCCATGAAGGCATCAGGAGTTGAACTCTCCTTGAGGAAGATTTTACTAACTCTAAAATTCTTGGGAGGCCTTATCAGGTGCCATTTGCTCAAGAACTGAAATTAATATTGCAGTCTGACCATGACTCCAAAGCCTTTCAGTCAGCAAAGCTGTTGCTAAAGCTGGGTAGGAAGGATGAAAGTTGTAGTCCAAACCTTGGAGCCCATCAGGTAGTGGAATGTGGTACTAGTGGAAACAGTTCATCTTCACTTTGTAAAGCTGCCCAGGCTGATGTCAGTAGTCACAGATCAGTAGGAACTAATTGCTATGCGTTGTGTGAGGGAGGGAAAGGTTAAACCAATCATGGTGAAAATTATCTCTTCATGCAGAGTATCTTGTGTTTAAAAATCCCAGGCATGGTGGCTAATCACAGGCTATAAGTGATATCTACTTTGGTCCTTAATTTTAGAGTATTTCTTAATTTTCTTAATTTTAGAATACTTCTTAATTTTCTTAATTTTAGATTATTTCTTGAACAGCTTTCATATGAAAAACTATCAGGAGTCCACGGTGGGGGTCAAGATGGAGGCGTGACTGCCCAGTCAAAGTCCTACCCCTTTTTACATGCCTGTGGCACATATTAAAAAGGGGTAGGGCTTCCATTACATCTTGACTTTTTTGACTCCCACTCGGATGCCTCTGAAAGTGGCTACATTGGTTTAGACCAGTGTTTTTTAAACTTGGCAACTTTAAGATGTGTGGACTTCAACTCCCAAAATTCTAGCTGTTAAAGTCCGCACATCTTAAAGTTCCCAAGATTGAAAAACACTGTTTTCGAACGTATGGCTTAGCGAACATTAGCACAAATGATGCATCACTGTCCAGTTCCTAGTACAGAAGCAGTTGTTGGTAATGGTACCATTCTGATGTTTCATGTGATTGAGTTCTAAACTTTGACTTCTCTCTCTTGATTTTAGGCCAGCTGTTTTGGACAAAAAAGTGGGTGACCTTTCTACATTGAATGAAGTCGGTTACCAGCTACGCATCTGAGAAAACCAGAGGCCAAACCAAATGGCTTCTGGGATATTTCTTGCCGCACTTTACCCTGTCATATGTGGGGGATGGGGAGTGGGGAGCTGTGACTATTTATTATGAACATGTAAGGGTTTTATTTATGATTTCACCAGGAACTAGAAATCCTAGAAGTGATGGTATTTGGTGGTATTTTTGTTTTTTATTTTTCAATTCATGAAGTCAATCAAGGAAAAGAGAAATTAAAAACTGTCTTCAGCTATGATAATACTGTTACTCTCCATCGAGTTGAAAAGGGGAGGTGATAATAGTGTGGCTTGGTTTTCTTTTGGATGGAAATTACTGTTTCTGTAGTGGCTCTTTTTTCTGTTGGCTTGGAGCATTGTGTGGTGTTGTAGGAGTTAGGAAAGGCAATGCTGGAAGTATTTTCCTCTATGATACTTAAAAATGCTGAGGTAGGGGGGCGGTAAGCTGCAGTCAGAGAAAGGCATGGCCTGGCACCAACTTTGCTTGTGTGGGTTCCACTGAAAAGAATGAAGTTGTGCAACTCTATGATCTCTTTCACTGGAGCTCAACATAACAGAAATTGCTGCCGGACCTCATTTAATGTTACATTCAGCAATAAAATAGCAAGAATTTATGTGAGTGGGGTTTCTTTTTCTTCTTCTTCAAAATATCAATATTACCTCAAGAATCTCTACTACAGATATGCAAAACTAACAGTATTTTGATTTTGTAATGGTTTTGTACTATGTTCCCAGTTTTTCTGGTAGCAGAGCCCACCCCTTCCGCCTTACGTGCATGTGTACAGTGAAGGAATTTCAAGTATTATGATATGGAGATGTCTCCGTAAAAGCACTGAAGTCTTCTATTAGGGATTGAACAAACTGTTGAAGTTAATTGTCTGCCTAACAAAAAAATATTGCCTGATCCAATAATGATGTCAAAAGAAGCAAATAGCCAACCTTTTGTAATATTTTTGTCACATACTCTTAACCTCCATGGTCAAAGCACAAATGGTTCTGGTGTGAATCTATGTGGTCTTGTATATAAAACAAGCCCAGAGTCTGCCAGTACCAATCCTGTTCTCTGTGTGTAATCGGTGCTTTATGTATGTAATAGGGATTCCCCATTCTGCTTTGAGAGCATTCACCAAACAAGGAAAAAGGGGGAGACTTTGGATCATGCTGAAGGACTAGAGATCATTGTTTTGTACAGATGATCAATGTAGTAAAACTCAAATTGTGTGTTTAATTCTTTAAAATAATGCCAGTATTTTAAGAATGCACTATTCTTCCTCTGTGTTTTTTTAATGATGTAGATGTCTTGACATCTTTTAACATGATCAAACATTCCACTTGAGGTTACAGCCAGTGTGCTTGGAGAAAACAACCATCTATAGACATTGAATTCAAATAAAAGTGAATAAATAAATCCATGGCCAAAGGGAAGTATTTTACAATGCAACAAAGACATGTTATTTTGGATAAAGGATAAAAAAAACACTAGCATATTCATGGGGAAAAAGCTGCTGGATAACTTCTGTGGACTGATGCAGATCTAACATTAGATACCATATCTGAATTATAAAATCTGGATGACCATCAGATGGCATCAAACTGATGTTCTTTGATGCCATCTAATGGTCATCCAGATTTTTGCAACCCAGATATAGTAATCCCACCCTCTTCACTTATTGTAATCATGTAAACAAGTAAGGAGGCAAGTAGGAAAGAGCACAGTAGCTCAACATAACCCACTAGTTTTGTTACATATATCCCAAAGCAATTTTAATTTGATGCAATCATGTTCCTTCAAAATATATTGCCTCCTATCTAGCTCCTAACCATAGTATAAGTTTCTAGTTTACAAGAGATCAGAGAGGTATGTGAGTGCATTTCTCAACTAGCAACTTACAGTGTCTTCTAGAAACAGCCATCCCTTGTGCCAAATTAACAGCAATAAAGACAGGCTTTCTGTCGCTTACGTGATGGCTGTGTAATGCTATGAAGACATAGTGCTGAGCAACTAGCATGAAAATAGTTAGGTCTGTGTCAGTATGGCAGGACGTCATATTCATAGTCATGGCCATATCCAGTACATGATACCACCCTGCTAAAAGTGAGTGGAGGAAAAGAATAGTTCCCATGGCTCTCTCCCATTTCAGCTTTATGATTGAGTCCCTGGTAAATCCGAGCTTACTGATAAAGTAATTTTTTAAAGCAAGTGTTCAGGATCAGTTGAAGGATGATTAGCATCTCTTTGTTTTGTTATCACTGTCTGTCTATTATGAAACCCCAAAGGTGATTTTGCTTTTTTTAAATTGATATTTCTAATATATTTGAAATGTTCGAGGCATAATTCTTTATGGACTTCTCTTGCACCAGTTCTCTCAAGATTAGTGGGAGTGATGCAGGAAAAAAGATGACCAGATTTTAGCTAACTTTCCAAACCCTTTTCATAGGCTAAGATGTCATTTTGTATCCAGGACCATGGTTTTCCTTCTGTACACATACGTTCTAGAGCAACATGTACCTGTCTTTTTTTAAAACTTAAAAACTGTAAGTTTGGTGACTAGCTTGTATTGTCATTACTTTGTCAAATGGGATTCTGTTCCAAATGTGAAGCATGCATGATTTTTCCTTTTCTTATCACCTGTATGTTCTGTGCAGCATGAAACTTTAATAAAATGTCTTAGAAGACTTTTTTAAAAAAAAACAAAAGCTTTCTGAGTGTTTTAAGGTAAATGTAACTGTAGATTTATGTAACTGTTTGTGATACAAAACTAAATAGTCCTGATCCAAGTGTGTATATGTAGCAACTAGAGCTTCATCTGAGGCATTCCACATAGAAGGGGTATTTTAGTAGGAGGTGCAGAACAGCAGACTGAAAATCTATTTCTTGAGGTAAATCTTAGAATCTAATTTTTCTTCACTTATAATTTGGAGAATGAGGCTTTCCCATCTTCCCCTTCATTCTGTACAAATCCTCTGTGCCCCTCATTTGTTCCTGGAAACTGGGGATCTTTGAGAATTTGGGAAGGGGAAGTTGGAGATCTAAGTGACAGTTGCCAGGAAACATGACCCATCATTATAAAAACTGCAGTTATTAGACCTTGCCACTTGATGTGACAAGATCTGACATTTAGGAAGCCATGCATATAGAGGACATCTCCATAGTTCTCACAACAGCATTGCCTTATTTTTTTATTCCATTTTGCTCCACTGAAATAAGAATTAATCATATCCAAAGCTATTTGAAAAGGTTCCAGCAAAAGTACTTGATTTGAAATCTATACCCTCCATTTGTCATCTCAATTCAAGAATTTGTGCTTTATTTCCATTTTGTAGACAAGTAACGCTAAACAGATTACCACTTAATTCCACTGAGTTTAGTTAGAAGCAAATGGCTTTTTTCAAAGATGCTACAATATTTGGAGAGGGTGAGACCTAAAATGAAAAACAACTTAGATCCTCCTTGAGCAAAAGATTGAGGATCAGAATTGTCCATGAAAGGGTCCACATTCTGTACCACCTCTCAGTTCTGGATTATGTGACCCACAAAGATTTTAGAGTGATCCCTGCACCTATTTTGTGCTGCTTCCATTTACAAGTCAAAATATACAACCCTTTCTTCTTTGTTTTGAAATGTGTTGTGCATCATGTATTTGTATGCAGTTCTGTGAAAAAGTATTCACCCCTGTTAATCTGGGTGCTTTTTGGCAAACTTGAGCATCAATGTCCTTCCTAGTGAGCAAGTTTCTGGCTTGCTACTCTTCCTCAAATCCCATTTTTACTCAGTAGTTTTTGATAATGGAGTTATGAACATTGATTTTAGCCTGTGGCTCTGTGGATGTTCTAAGGTTCTTTGAGACTTCCTGCATGATTTTACCCTGTACTCTTAGAGTGATTTTGGCAGAATAGCCAGTCTTGGGAAGATCCATCATTTTCCCAAATCTTCTCAATTTCTTTTTTTTTTAATAATAAAAAGAAATATATAAAGAAGTGATTTCCAAACTTCATCACAACAAACAAATTTAATAACTGTTCACCACCTATAATGTTAAACAGAGATGTCTTCATCCCATATCCCATATAATTAAGCAAATCCATAAAACATCAACTTTTCAATCTTGGTGTCAGCAAAAAGTCCATAAAGGG